GTATCTATTGAATAGGGGATATAGAAATCTACTTGGAGAGCTAAATTTCCAGATTGAAGCGCTAATCTGCGCGAATCGTGACGAGTTTTATGAAAATTTGTTAATTTTTGCTGCAATTTTTCGCAGTTTTTCAGGTTTCTAGGCTAGTCAAAGTTCTTGTTCGCAAAAGTAAGGTGTGCATCTGATAGAGCTCATCAAGATCTACTTGGAGCGTTGGGTCTCGAAGTTGGAGTGCTGAGTGGAGCGAATCCTTTCGGAAAAAACTCGAATCCTGACCTAAGATATCTTACGTCAGTGGATTCCCTGCTTCAGACTACGGATCTACAGAAAAAACAACGTCTGTAGCTCATCGATCGGAATTTTCACTTTTGACAGCAAGTGTTATGCCGTTATACGCACAGACATTTCTATTTTAGTTTTATAGATCTTCGGTAAGTCGTTCTAATATAACCATTAAAATAAAAATTTGCTTTTCTGATTTCATGTAGTACCTCATTTTACAAGAAATTTGTCAAAATAATTTCTCATATAGAATTTGTTCACTAGTGAAAGTATTGAGTTTAAAGTACTTTGCGACTACTATGTTATAGGTACTTTCGGATACTGATTGAGTTCTTAAAGAATTAGAAATGAAATATTTCTGAATGCTGAATTAATTGATCTGTGAAAACATTTCAATGTAGAACATTGCGTAAAAGACTAAATATCTTATGGATTCTTAAAAGTATCTATTGATCGAGACAATTTTCAATACGATACTTGAGAAAAATACTAGTGTTTTCGTCACCTTGACATTGGTGATTTCAATGTCGAAAAATATTCGACTTGTTTTGTTCTTAGAGAAATGGCATAGGAATGTTTTGATGAATAAAATATTATGATATTCATAGACTATTACTCAAAACTGAATTTCATAAGTGAAATTGCATAGTGTGCAATTTATATTTGATAAGAGCTGTTAAAAAATGTCATACTTTCATCTACTTATACTTGGCGTCATCTATAGCATAATTTTGAAGAATATTTTTATTTAAAATTTAGATAAATATATTGATTCATATGAGTTTATATTAATATTTCTTAAGAAGAGCTCAAACAATAATTTGATTCGATATGTACAAATGGCAAATGAGAGCTGTTGCTACTCTACTAGTACTCTTCACATGCCTTTTTTTCTCCGTAGATAAATCTTTTTCGTTCTTGTGTGTATCTAGGTCGTTTCTCGTAATCAGCTGATTATTTGTATGTAGAATATGACTATGAAAATAATTTCCATTGTTTTAGATAATTCGATTATCCTTATATTATATAAGACTTCAATATTCTGATTAAAAGCATGAAATAATTTGTTAGTCATGTCACTTTTGATAGATACGTTTATTCTAACAATATCTGAAGTATGTTTCTTTTTTTTTTTACATTAATTAATAATAATTCTTAATTGATAATGAGAAATTTTAGATTGTATTTTTTATTGGTGGTTATATGTTTTTTGTTCGTCAATTAAGTGAAAATTATGGTGTACAAAATCGAATTGTAATTCTTTCATTTGCAGTTACATTTGCATTAAGTTGTATGATGTTCGAATTAATTATTTTTGAAATACTTGCTTTATTAGAACAAACGTATGTTCTTTTTTTCTTTCATACAGAGGTGTCTCGAAAAGTGTTTTATCAAGATTTTTTCTTTCGACAGAAGTGTTTGAAAACTCCAAGTAGGCAAAGAACTTTTCTTTTGGGAGCATAGACAAATTGTACGTGCTACGATACCCACAAGTTCTTAGAGGGTCAACTTGATCGTCCGAAGGGCACTGCTCTCTCATTTCACATGTTAGATAAAACACTGATATGAAAGTTGGTAGAATCTTGGGAAGTTACCCTTATTCGAGATATCTCTGCTATTAAATTCATTTTTGTTTTTGAATAATATGTTGAATTAATATAGATCACGATATCTTCATTGGCGTCTTGGTCTTTATTCTATGCTGTTTCTACTTGTTTTTCTTATTCCATTTTATATTGCATATTTATTATTGAATACAATTAAAATCGGTAAAAGAAAAAAATTAAATTTTCTGTGTTTCTTTTAATTTGACATTGATATTTTTTTTCTTTTCAGTGCGAGATTTTCGTCTGGCATTATTTTTTACATTGATTGCATGGTGTTTTTATTTATATACATTCTGGAAATTGGGTAATCCATTTCCGATGTCAAATCGACATGAATTTTTTAGTATTGAACAATGTGTAAGTCGAGTAGGGATTATTGGTGTTACAGCTATGGCTTTTCTAAGTGGGTTTGGTGGTATGAAAAATAATTCTTAAATTTTATAAAAAAAAGAAAACTTTACTGATCTAATTTTTTTCATAGCTGTTAATTGTCCATATACATACATGACCTATTTTATTAAGGTAAGCTTAAATAATAATTTTCTCTTTCTTTTTTCGACAAGAAATGGTTATTGATATTGTAGAGAAAAGATTACAATGATTTTTTTTCCTCATAATTAATAAATATGATTTAGAAGAGATTACGTTTATTGATAGAATTTGAAAACTTGCTCTGTAAATATTAAAACAGTTATTAATTCGTATTCAAATCATGATAACACAAAAAAATGTATTAAAGCCGATTTTGATAGCATAGATAAGTGTAAATGAAGAATATAAGATTATTTAAATATTGAATATTTGAAATTTAGACATTCAGATAAATGCAAACAAAATAATTCTTTCGCTGAAGATACCATAGAAGCACATGCATAAAGATAGTATCAGAGTATCTGAAAATGTATTAGATTATTGAATTCTATGTTGGGAATCGACACTATGGATCGAATGAGATACTGTATTATTGGATCTCTCTCGCAAACATTTTGAAGAATATTGAATAGTCTTATATTTTTATAGAAGAAAATATTAGGAATTAAAGTCATTATCTGATATGAATAGATTTGAGAGTCCTACGATACTTCAATTCACATTACAAAATTGTTCGTAACATATGTTTCAAGAAAAATGATTCTCAGGATAATTTAGTAATATTTGTTTATTAAATATTCATTAATTCAGTACGAAAATTCTAAATGATGAGTATGTGAATTCGTTGTAATGTCGATTATGGACTTATTAAATTCGTTTTCAACCCTTGCGGTGAATGGCTCACGAAAAAAAATTGAAATTATTAGGATAGATAGATCTTGATGGGTAGAGAAAAAGTTATTATTGACTGAGAATTTCCAAATGCTTCGTTCTAAGAAATATTGAGAAGATCACAGTTAAAAGTTAACCACCTAATCGTGACGCTTTCTCAGCTACAATGCGTCTAATAGATTTGAAGCTATTTTTTTTAAAGATAGTAGACACTGTTTCGAGTGCCTATCTTTTATTTGTTTCTTTTTTATCTCATTTCATTCGAACAGAAAGATCAAAGTATTCTGTATGCACCCAAAGAATGTACTGTTTTGCCTTCAAGGTGTTTAAGATCAAGAATTACTATTCACTATTTACATATACTTTGAACTAGTCTACATAAGCAGAGCCGTAGTTGTATGTGATTAAATAATGTCATCAATGTACTTCAGAATGATTGAAACACATAAATAATAGTGGAACGTAACTAGCAGATATTATCAGTTTCATCTAATGTTGTGTATTTAACCTGAGGGACGAGAGCCTTGATATAAAATATTCACTCATTTTTCGACCACAACTGGTTAGAGCCAGAAATAGTTCGTTAGAAATAGGATTTTTCGTTATTTCTGAATAAATACTCAGATTTCTTTCTGGATTATGATTGAACAATTATCGGTAAATTTTCAACATTATTATAGAGCATTGAATTCTATACAAAATGAAATATTAATTTAAGCGAAATCTCATGTTATTCTCACTAAAGAGCAAATTTCCATCGAAATTAGCATTGATCACAGAATCAGTGTTTCAAAAATTACATTAAAAAATAGAAAATTAAATAGGACGTTTTGTAGAACAAACTTGTCTCTTCAAAATTGACCGAAATAGTATTCTATACAAACACTATTTTGAACCTTCTGAAAGAATCTAATAATAGTTATTAAATCTTATTTCAGAAAGAGCGAAAAAGTCTGGCTGTAACTAGCTGTCATTAAATGGCCGAAAAAATGAATGAATATTTTAGCGGCAGAAATTATAAAAGTGTAATAAAGCGGGCTGGGATTCGTGCGAACTGCACTTAATAGAATCCATCAGATTGGTCTCGGACTTTGGTCATCTGATATATCAATTGGCTGTATTAGCATTCACATTAATTTGAAAATCTATACTAACAGCTTTTATTTTGTTTTTTTTTTAGGCTGTTTCTGACAAAGATATAAGTGATGCACAAAAACGTTTAAAACAAGTAATGGAAATAGTTGCACTAAAAAAGAAACGTATTGCTGCTATTGAACATGAAAATTCTCTAAGAGCAATAGCTGCATCATTAAATTCGAATAATCCATGGAATTTTCTTCGACGTACATGGAATTCATGTTTAACATCACAATTAACAAATCAAATAACATCATCATATAATAATATATCTTTAATTAAACAAGATATATCAACATATGAAGAAATATATTCACAATTATATAGTGATTTTGTTGATTTACAAGCTATACAAAAACGTATAGAATATTCTAAAACATTAAAAGGAAAATATTTTCATGTCTTAGGACATTTTTTTTCATTATATTGTATATGGAAAATTATTATTTCATTTATAAATATTATTTTTAATCGTGTAGGAAAAGGTAAATTGAATATTATTTTGTATGTCAAAAAAGCAAAAAGAATTATTTTAGTTGATCCAGTAACAATAGGTATTGAATTAACAGTACATTATTTTAATTTTGAATTTGATGTTAAATTTTGTTCTCAATATATATCATTTATATTAATTGGTATTATCGTTGTAACAAGTATTCGTGGTTTATTGATTACATTAACTAAGGTTTCATCAAATAATAATTAAAATAAAATAATTTTTGTTTTGTTTTGTTAGTTTTTTTATTTTATATCAAGTAGTCGATCATCAAATGTTATTTTTTTATGTCTTGCACAATTAATGGTAACTATAAAATTTTGAGAAAAAAAAAAATTATTAATTTTTTTTTTTCTAGGGCATGTATTTTATATCATCAGTGCTTCTTATTAGAATGAGTATGCCAGTACAATATCGGTAATTTATTTGAGTGAAAAGTTTTGTTTGTTTTTTTTCAAATTTGATTATTTAGAGAAATTATTTCACAAGGTCTTGGCGACTTACAATTTAATTTTTATCATCGCTGGTTTGATTGTATTTTTTTACTTTCTGCATTATTTAGTATTGGTATACTTTATTTACGTTATCGATCATCTCAACAATCACTTACACTTTATGATAAAAATTTTGAAAAAGTAATGAAATTACAATAGATAAATGAGAAAAAAAAAATATTATCTTTTGTTTTAGATATATGCTTGATAGTGGAATCATCTCTTCCGTCCACACGTTTATGCTGTGATCATATGATGCATTTGTCATTATTTTCATTGATTATTTTTTTTCTCTTATTTTGTAAAATAAAAATATATATTTTGTGATAAACAAGATAAATTTACATGCCAAATATTGAAACAAGTATAAATTACAACAGTGGAAAATTTTTCGGATTTTTCATAAGCATGAAGCATGAGAAAAACAATCATAGGGTTGAATTTTTTTATTGATTTCCGTATAGTAACCATTTGTTTTATCGATATTTTGAAGAGCGATGAGAATAGCAATGGAGAACAATCCAATCGGTAGAAAGCATGACCAGTTTAAATGAAAACTAAATGTTCAAGTCAAATGTCATGATAACTATCAAATTGTTGCAGAGTCATGAGATATATGCATTATAAAAATATATAAACAAAATCAGTTAAAGCGATCATTATTGAAGGTGTGCGGGATCAAGCTATTTTAATTTCGGTATATTCTTTTCTGCTGTTTCACGTTATGGTTTCGATCAATCTAATTGAATCTTGATCTAAAGAAAACTGTTTTAGAATTGATTCATGTCATATCTAAAAAATCCTTCAATGCCTTTTTTGGATCATCTCACTTATATCATTTTTCGGATTGAACTGATTTATGAGATAATTCGCTTAGAGTCATAGAATGTGCAACTATAATTTCTAGCTTCAGTCTCGGAAAAATTCCAAATTTTTGTTGCACACAGGTTTTGACATGATCATCTTTCGATTTGACTTCGGTTTTTTATAGGGTAGGCCAACAGTGATTAGGTATGTTTTCCTACCATGGAGGAAAGACTCCATGCCACAAACTATATCGATGGTAAATTTGCAGCAACAATCGACTCGAACAAAAATTGTTTCACTAAAACTACTTTTTCAGAGATCTGCTCATGTTTCAAAATGAGACTTTTTGTTTTTCTATCATCTCGAGATATCCAAGAAAGGCTTATACCATTCAAAATTCATTTTTGGAGTTCTTATTTACTTACAAGGTTATTTTTCGTTTTTATATTAGTACTTAGTTACGATGTTAACAATTTATAGATTAAATTTTTTAAAAATTAATAAACAAGTAACTATAGTCCAATTATCTTGAAGGATTTCCAGCCTGTTCAGTCAAAAACCTTACAAAGAATTTAAGGAATTTTCTTGGAAATCTATCACGATAATTACGAACAGAGCAAACTTTTGTATATGGCGTCACTTATTGTAGTATTCACATGAGCGTCTCATAAATAAAGAGGAAGCTGAATAGTCTTTCTCTCAATCGTAAATAGAAAAATAGATTTTTTTTTCAGTCATGTTCATTGATGGAATTATAAGTTACTATTTATATCAACAAAAAAATGTAATTTATTTTGCAAAATCATAGTTACTTACTGATGAGCTTGCTGTTAATACTAATCCCTCCAAAATCAATTTTTGATACAATATAGTGGATTTACCATGAAAGTTTCTAAAAATGTGTTCGGCATATGAAAATATACTATTAAAAACAATTCCACGGCTCCAAACATTACCGTTCAGGAGCCATAGTGCAAAATAGAGCTTTTATGCGTACAAATGTTTTTTTTTTCAATACACTTCAAGCTACAACGCTCGAGCTGCTCTTATTTCAAAGATAATTCCTTATTATTTGGAATAAGGAAAAGAGGTGTTTTAATTTTGATTCTATTTCATTTGTAGCATCTTGAAAATCTTAAAACTCTCAAAGTGTTAGGTAATGTGTTCTAGAAAATTCATGATTACTTTGGTATTGAGATTCGAACATCAAATCTATTGTGCTCATTCGAAAGAAACAATCAATGCCAAGACAAACATACAAACATTTTTTTTTCTATAATTACCAAAAAATTCTTTTGGTATGAGCATAACACATTGTTATATTACGTACTAATTAAAAACTCATCTAAATCATTATCATAATCGGTAGATCGTTTTGATTATACAGTCGACTTAATTGACAGATTCTAGTTCATTTGGCTCCGATTTTGGGTACAGTTTTTCTTTAATCGTAATGAAGAATCATCACTCCAATTAATTGATGATGTTGTGAATCTAGGATAGGCTTTTGCTTTCCCAAGCCTTGTGATTTCACCGCCTATGCATATTGAATATGAGTTTGCAGTAGATAAAATGTGAACTAACCTTATAATAACGCATTCTTTGCCAGACGAAAATGAAAACTAAACAGTAATAGAAAATTTCTACAATAATTAGAGCCCATATAAGTCTTTATCTATTCACTATAAGCTGGCTTCAAATCTACTCAGATCGAGTGGCTGTGTAACTACATGTTCGGCGATGATAAAAGACCGTAACTACAATATGGTTGTAGCTTTTTCACTTGAGAAATCTAGAAATTCATCATAATTTCTAAAGAAATCTTTTAAAATTAGAAGTCATTCTTATGAATTTTCAAACTACAAACTTTAGAGGTCATGCCTATATATTTATTTCAAAAAGTAACTTGTTTTTAGAAAAATCGATTTTATTTTGAAGAGGAAGGCCATAAATGAAAATTATTCTTCAGACTATAAACAAAGTCAAATACAAATTTGTTTTAGTCTAAGTAATTTAGTTTTTTTTTTCTGTCTTTGTATTTAAGCATTGACATCTAATTGATTTTTTGTCATGATTTAATGTGAAATGAAAAATATGATATACTGATGGCAAAAAATAGGGATTTGTCATTTGAGTCGATTTTCTAATTGACGACAGATTAGATAAAAATCGTTGAAAAGAATCATTTCTTGAGTGATATTCAAATAGATCACATACGATTTTATCAAATTTTTTATTCAAGGAAACAATGAAAATGGTAAACGTAAATTATTAATCTTACAAATAATTTAATCAATATATTTAGATATTCTTAAAATTCATCCTTATTATTGGTTTGTTAGTAACAATTACACATGCACAATGTCCACTAACTGACGATCCAAAACAACTTCTTAGATGTGTTCAATACTTCACATCGGTGCTTTATGGAGCTCTTGCAAAAGGTTAATAAAATATTGAATAAATTTACTCTAGAAATTTTCATTCTAGATTTGAGAATAATATGTCAAGTTGCCGCTGATGTCGCAGACTGTTTAAGTACAGAAATGGGCGCTTGTGTTGCAGCAGAAGTAAATAAATGTTAATTTTTATCGACAGTTTTATTCATAGATCCCTTTCTTCAGATCGGTAAAGCAGCACTTAATGAAGCTAAGCGACTTGCTGAAAACTGTTGTCCAATTATAAATAGTACAAGCTGTCCAATACAAAGTCTGCTTTAATCATATTATTTATTTATTTTTTGTCAGCTAATTATTAATCTATTTAGCTAATACAGCCAGCACAAGGGCTTGTTTTGCTGCCGATTCTCTCGTTACATTAGTTAATGGAAAACAAAAACAAATCGTTGATTTACAATCAGGTGATACAATTCTTGCTTATGATGATAAAACAAATAAAATTATTCCTACAAATGTACTAACAATGCTTGACTATCAACCTAATCAATACGGTAGAATTTCTCATTTTTTTGTTTTTCTTATTATTATATTTCATTTTTTAGCGGTATTCAAACAATTGACAACGGTTTCTGGCCGACAATTATCATTAACTTTATCTCATCTTCTTCCAACTGATATTCATGGTTATGTTATGGCAAAAAATATTCATATAGGTATGAATATCTATATCATGAATGATGATGGTTTATTAATTACTGAAACTATTTCGAATGTAATCGATGTTGTTAAACAAGGATATGTAGCTCCATTAACACAAAAAGGCACATTGATTGTTAATAATGTTGCAGCTTCTTGTTATGCAACAATCAATAATCATCACGTGGCTCATGCTGCATTAGCACCTATGCGTTGGTGGTATGGTTTATTTGGAGAAATAATAGGATCGGATAAAATAACTGGTATTCATTGGTTTCCAAATATTCTTTATGAAATGACAACATTTTTAATGCCTTCAATTATTCAGAACTAATAAATTTTAACCTTTACTAAATCAAACTAATAATCAATTAACTTTAATCATCTAATAAACGCATAAAAAAATAAATGCTTTTTATAGATTTCAATTATAAGATATTTCATGTCATGATTAAACATCGTGTAAATACAATGATTAAAAATTGAAAACAAAAAATGAAATCCGATGTTATTTTTCGTCAATCGAAAAAAGAATGATTCCCTTTTCTTTTTTCAAACATAAGTCAATTTCTATTCTCAATAACAAAGCTGAAAATGAAAATAAAATCCATTTCACTACCTCCCGCGACAAAAAAAAAACAATCAGGTGTAGAAATTTGAGCCGATACTATTCGCTATTAGTTAAGCTTTGAAAATCATTTATTTGAAGTAATTGTCTTCAAATATTATCTAAAAATGACAATTATTTTCAGTGCTATCATCAAAACGATAAATGCAAGGTGTAATCTAAGTGAAAAACTTTTGACAATACTTCTTGAATATTCTGAGAAAGGATAGTTTGTTTTAAAAAAAGGACAAAAACAATAATGAATCTTAAGTCTTTTTAAATTTAGATCATCAAATATTCTCTTCACATCTATGTTCGCTAATCAGACTGAAAGCATTTTTCCCGTCATTTAAACTTGTTTCTATTGTTTACATTGTTAAATGATAATCAAAAACATCCACCTACGTATGAATGCTTGTGTCATGAATGACAAAAATTTATTATCTGCTAAAAACTCGTACATGTTATAGGTACTATCGAATAATATTACGTGGCTTCGCTGATATAAAATGATATTTTAATTGGTAACAATATTACTGCATTATGTTGTACAGTAATTAATAATTATTATGTATGACACATATTGCTAGGGTGTGGATGTGATTGAGCGTAGGAGTCATTGGACAAAATTTTCAGTCGCAGCTACACACGCACATACCATTTTTTACGATGACTCCTACGCCTATCCACACCATACTCACACCCACACCCTATTGCTGTATGATAGTGAACATAATGGCTTCTGACGTCTGCTCGTGATATGCTTGACAAATCTTGTATTTTTCAATGGCATGATTCAAAATGAACTTCACCGTCCAGGATAACGTATTTCTGATACTCAGAGAACTTTTTGATATGCTACCTTGAGGAATCAATTTGTCTATGCTATTGTCAGACTCTAAGGGAAGGTATATGTGTGACAGCATAAATTTTGTACCAATATCTAACGACCCAACGCCAACTGCAGAAGCTGCCATTGGTCGTTGCCTAATAATACTGACTCAAATTAAAGTTGCCAACTACTTATTGCTCGATCTGTCATGTACGACTGGAAGAGTAGTCAACTAACTTTGAGGGATATGAGATATTGTCAACTATGACTCTCAGGAATTTTTAACGTCAAATCCTACCAAAACACATTTTGACAGCGATTTACGAACCTTACAAACTGTCTTGGCTACTATCATCATGTCTTAACTAATTTTTATCAACTCTTTTATTTGAAGTTTTCATTTTTCTGCTCCAAAAGGTCGTTCTCTGCTGCAGCACAGTAAAAAAAATGCCAACGATGGAGTACGCGGCCGAGTTAAGGAGCACATTATTTCAGCAGCGACAGAGCGACAGAATAAACTGTGCCGACATTATTTCATACAAAGTGTTACGCTATCGGAAAAGTTAAGACCGAAAAACTCGAGGTGAAGCTATAATTTTGCACAGGCGAAAATACGACCTTTTCTAATAAAAACTACTTTGTGCGCTGGTTATGATGAAATAATAAAACTCAACTACATATTCTCAAAGAGTACATTCTACTCTACGAAATTCACCTATGGACTCTTTCACAGAAGTCTCTATAGGGACATACGGAACAAAACATTTCCGAAGTATCAAATGAACCTATACTTTTGCACACTACTGTAATTTGCTTTTTCATATTCAGTTAAATTTTCTTATGCATTATCTTCCACCTGAAAATAGAGAAAACATTCTAATATAATGTTAAAGGATAAGAGATAAGAAACTCAAACATGAAAATTACAATAAGTGTTGGAACTTTAAAAAACTACAGTATGATTCCTTATTATCAAAGTAGAAGTGCAATGATTATGGTGTAGTTTTATATGTCACATACTCGCAAGAGAAATTTCTGAAACATTATAATATAATGAAATGAAAGATCTTTATCATTTGTAATTTAATCAAGTATCTTAAACAAAAAATGTGGTTCGCAAAATTATTGACATGAATGACATGAACATGATGGTCAGCAGAATGTAGATTCATATTCTTTCACATCACTAACTAAAAGGGGATGATGTTTTTGAAAAGTCTAATCATTTCAAGAAGAAAAAAAATCTGAAAAGAGATTCTGTAGAATTTCTACAAGTATACCGTTTAGTTTTCAAAAATGCTTTTATGTAAAGTCTTTTAGTACTTTAACGATTTGATTGTTTTCAATCGAAATACAAAATTATCTCTTTGATTTTGATGCTAAGCTGAAAGGTAACCTTTTTATTTGATCAAGTGATCAATATTAATATATTTTTTTGCATTATTTACAGAAGAGACAATTATTTTTTGTCAGGTAAGTTCAATTGATAACAACTGCACTGATATAGTCTTAACAATTGACTCAACAGATGGATAGACTATCAATCGATTAGAAACGAAAAAAAGTATTTACCACTAATAAAATAAAAGTAAATTGATCAATTAATTCACTATTTATATTGCAATAATAATCTGAAAAGAGTTTGGTAGAAGTGATGAATCATATTCGATTTGTTTACTACTTTCTTTTTGTTCAGCTATTTTTCTTTTGTAATATCGATATCACATGAAAGCCAATTACGTATTCCATATTTTTACCTATTCCATGTTTCTGTCTGTTCATTGTTGTCATTTTCAATAAGGATCATCGTCAGTTGTAAGAATGGAACGAACAAAAAGACAACAAGACGAGATAATTCGCTATCATCACGAAAAATAAAAAACAAAAATTATAAAATACAAGTAGGATTTTATACTTAGATCTAATAAATTTTCTTTTGTTTTTTTTCTTTTATTTTTTAATTTATTCAAAGAACTCAGTTATCTATATACCTATCTTATCATCTAATGATTATCTTTTATTTTATTCAGATCTTGTTTAGAAGATTTATCAAATGAAGTATTTTATGAAATATTTGAATATATGGATATTTATCATGTCTATGAAGAATTTTTTAATCTTAATACACGATTTAAAAATTTACTTATGCATTCAAATGTTCCAATTCATATAAATATTTCAACAATGTCTAAATCAAATTTTGAATGGTATTATAATAATATAATTCTTCCCAATATGCATCGAATAAATATTCTTCGATTATCAAATCCATTTACTATTGCAAGGCTCTCGATTGTTTTTGAGACTGGCGGGGGTAAAATTTTTTTTCTTTTGCCAGACACTTCAACAAACTTGGGAGACAGTCACTTATTTTTCGTAAAAAGTGATGACCGGCGAGGGGGGGGGGCGGTATCGTGCCGAAGATGCCCCTACTCCCCTCCAGAACTAAATAAAATCTTCAGAAAAATTGTCTAAAACAAATTTTTCAAAGCTAATATTATCACGTGATCAGTCGACTGTAGCTATAAAATTTAATTTCGCAGACAATATTACACATTTTTGCCAGACAGTATTAAAAATTTTCGTAGACACACTGCAAAAGTGGCGAGGGCTAGTCCCCGCCATCCCCCGCCACATTGTGGGCCCTGTACTATTGGTATTGTTTTTTCACAACCATGGCTTATTTCAATATTTCTTCAACTTGAAACATTAATTCTCGATAATATCAGTGCACAATCTTTAAATAATATTGCTGATCATTTAATTATTTTACCAAAATTACATTCATTAACTATTAATGACATTGGTTATATTCAAAATGCAACTCTCTATTATATTCGTATACTTCGTTTACCTAAATTGAAATATTGTAAAATTAAATTCGAATCAGAAGCTGATGTAGAATTATTGCCTAAATCTACTGATAAATTTAGTCCAATTGAATGTCTTGTTATTAATAATTGTTTTCGATTTCAATCACTTAATAATTTATTATCATATTTACAACAAAAGCTGATTCTACATATTTAGATACAAAAAAATGGGAACAATTAATAGTATCTTATATGCCAAATCTACGTGCATTTGATACAAATCATGAAGGTTCTGAACAAATTCATCAACTAACATATCATAATTTAATTAATCAATTTAATTCGTCATTTTATATTGAAAAAAAATGGTGTTTTACTCATCAACATTATTGGCAAGAAACTGTTAAAAGTGGAATATTTTATTCACCAAATCCATATCGGTAAAAAATAGATTCATTCGATTTTATAGTAGCTTTCTATTAGGGGCGTAACCAGAAAAAAGTTGTAGAGGGGGCTCAGCCCCCCCTCCCCCCGCCCCGCTCTCCCCAGTTATATTTCGAGAAATTGACAAAGACCAGCAGGTAACCCGACCTTCGAAACTCTGGGAGAATCGCGTGAATATTTTTCGTGAGATAGTATGTGTTTAAAGTAGTAATATATCTCGTTCAGTGTTTCTTATGTGTATCGAATAAAGTGCAATGTATATTATCCTATGAAGAAAGCATTAAAAGCTTGAGAAACTCATATCGAAATGTGCAATGGAAGAAGTGAAAGGGGCGAAGGGGTGGAAGAGGAGTTCTGATCTATTAACATTAGAAAAGCATTCACACTTTTTAGCTTAGCTACTGGTAGTTCCTCTCGATTTATAGTGCAAGAAAAATCTTTAAGTCAGAAGGCTTTTTCACATTTAAAGAACGATCAATCTTATATCATATTTTCAAAAAAAAATACTTTTTGGAAGAATTTCTTAAAAAGCTTATCGATTTTGACACCGAAAGCATTCATGCTTCGAACTATTGATCCAAACCATACTTTCTAAAACTGCGATAAACTAACTTTCCTTGATCTGGGTGTAAGTCTTTGATTATCGCCTATGCTTATGCCAGCAACAACACTTTCCAGCGGGATATTTTTTGTATACTGATAAATTTTATTATGTCTTTTCGCTTCATTGGAAAACTAACCTCATTAAATATCAGCTATGAAACTTTTAAAAAATATTTGCTGCCGAAGGCGGTCACGCTCGCAACCATCTTGTAAAAAATGAAGCCTTCAGACTTGAAGGTTTCCTAAAATGTTAATCAAACAAAAGGCTAGAGAATATTTCCATCAACTATGACTTTATAATTGCTACTCATGCTGCAGCAAAAAAAATTCTAATTCTACTTAACATTTTATTAGACAAACATATTATTTATTTCTGTAGTTTTGAAAAAACTTTTCATATATTGAGGACTTACTTGTTTTCGGATCGTTTCAACTAATAACAATGAAAAACTCCCGTTACTATGGCTAGCATCCTTCTGTTAGCCTCCAGCCTAATGATCACTGGTGAAGACTTTGCTAAACCTCTAGAGAGGGCTCGAGTATCTTTCGAACCAGAACTTCGCTGTTTCCAGGGGGCTAAAAGCGTTCTATGAGCATCCATCTCTGCAGCATCTATCCTATTACGACCGAGTAATTAAACTGAGTATTCTTTTGCGTATGTAATTTTGAAGTTTGAGGCTGTTCTGATTATACACTAATTATTACGTGCTTCTTCGTGGAAAGTATCAAACTGTTCCAAGAAAAAGGAGTCATTCACTACCTTTCTATATTCGATCATGAAAAAGTCAAATACAC